TTGAGGAGACAGATATTAAATCTAGTGCAAATATTATACAGTGTAGACACATAGTCAAATGTCATCCCACTATATGCAAAATTTTTGTGTATATGTTAATATTTATTAAAAATAAATGACTTAGGTTTTTCTCTTAAAAAAACAGTGAAGAATCCATGCTACATGTTGTAATCACTAGTTTGAAAGTCACACTAAAGAATCAGATGACTGAGAGCAAGAATTACCAAATTCTGTGTCATGGCTGATGACTGGCAGAAGCGCTCCTCGGGCACGGAAGCAGATGAGAGACCTGTCTGGGTCCACTGAAAAACAGGGCTTTCCGGGAGGGCTTTCTGGAGGTAATGCCTGCGGAGAGCTTTCTTTTCTTATCATATTATGCTTTCCGGTTATCCGGTAGTTTAGTCTTGTCAGGTATTGTAGTATTATTTAAAGCGAATATATTCATTTTCTAGGTAGTATTTAATTTGCATGTGTTTTCCTCTGAGTGAATTGATAGGATTTGCTTTAGGAAAAGAATAATGTTTATGTTGTGGTATCTTTTTTTATCTATTTACATATTTATATATTTATGTATTTGGTACACAGAAGGGTTTTTGGTGGCTCCAGATTGCCTCCAGCGCTGGTCTGGGTTGCCTTGAGTATCTGGGAATTGAACCACCGCTCCCAGAGACTGACTGCTTTGTTTAAGCAGGCACTTAAACAACTGAGATAGTGGGCGGGCCCCCAAACAGGATCAAAGTCTTTTTTTTTTTTTTTTTTTGGTGGAACTAGGGATTGGACTCAGGCCCTTGCGCTTGCCAGAGAAGTGCTTAGTCCACTGAGCCATCTCCCCGGCCCATGTATTTGGTACACAGCTTGGACTTGTAGCGCTTCTCCTGTTCTCAGTCTCCCCAGCTCTGAGGTGCACCACCACACCAAGTCTCACTGGCTGGCTCCGTGTGTCCAGGAGTGGGGCTGGCCTGGCATGTGGCATTGGGGATCAAACCTTGGTCCCTATAGTTGCCTAAGGAGGCGCTTAGTTACTGAGCTATTTTGGTGGCCTGGTGTTTCTTTTAATTAGACATTTCCAAAGAAAAAAATATGGTATCATTGTTTTATAAGCCCATATTATGTGTATTTTGCATATAGTTTTTCAGAAATCTCAAACTTGAAACCTCTTTATAACTGATCCTTGGATCCCAGCTCAGAACTAAAGGGGCAGAGATCATTGGTGAATCAGTATGAGGCGCAAGAGCTAGCCTTAAAGGTTAGGGAGTGGGGACTCACAGTCTCAGAGTGCCTATTTTTACCATTTATTATTTAACAAAGTTTGTTACTCTGCATACCACACTAGCATTTTTTTGTGTGTGTGTGCATGTGCGTGTGCGTGTGCATGCGTGCATGCGTGTGTGTGTGTGTGTGTGTGTGTGTGTGTGTGGTACCGGGGATTAAACTCAGGACCCTGTGCTTGCCAGGCAAGCACTTATTCTATTGAGCTATCTCCCTGGCCCCTTACTCTTCATACCACAATAAAAGTCTATTGTCTTTCTAGGTCTTTGATTTTGTGGAAAATTTTGTAATTCATTGAAGGGAAATGACATTTAGGAGAAAAATAAAACCTGTGGTTTTTTATGTAGTTTGAAGATTGTTCTTCCTGACATTTCATTTTGGCCTGTTGGTTACCTCCACCCTCCCTCCTCTTTGACCATAGGAATCCAAGCAGAATTCCAAATAGATAATGAATATTCTAATTGCAGTTGCGTATTTCCTTAGGACTGTCCTCTATGAACCCGTTTCCCATATTCGTTTTAGTTTCGACCTCAAAAATTTCAATCACGATAATTCATACTTTTTAATTATTTCTGTCTGATTTTGTGGGGTTTTAATGAAAAAATAAATAGAAAATGCTGGATAAAATGAAAAACAAAACATTTCAAAGCAGAATGGTAAATTTCATATATCTCTTTGCAACTAAATATACAATGTATGTTAGATTACAATGTAAATTGTAAATACAATAGCAAGCACCAGCTTGCTATTCCAATGTGTAGGTAAAACTTTTAACATACAGAAAGAGGACACTTAAATTTGAGTAGGGATAAAATAAAGAAACTCCAGGTGTGTGAATATGAAGAAAGAAATTATGCTTTTTAGACTGCTCTATACAGGATGTTAAAATTCTACAATGCCTTTTTTTCTGTTGATCATATCAAGATTTAAAGATATAAGTGGTCTATAATTCACTGAATCAACATCGACATTGCCTATTGCTTACTTTCAAAAGAGTGCTTCGTTTTCCTCTGAAGCAATACATGATGTATTTAGAACTGCCCAGCTCTTCCAAAGCTATCAGATTAGAAAAAATAAAGATAAATAAAGTGGGTTAATATCCTCTAAAACTGTTTTGTCTCATTTTTAAGTGTCGTCTGGCCGCCTGTCTTTTTTTTTCCTCCAGAAGTAATGATTTTGCTTCTAAGAAGTGACTTATCCTTGGACTGATGATCTGTATTTCGTATAATCCATCAGGGCCTGAATCCTGCTGACTGCACAAAGTCATTACAAGAGCATAAAAATCTAAAACACATTTGAGTTCTATTTTATGTGTACTCCTTTTATTAGGGGAAGCGCAGTGCTGACATGTGATTGGTTGGTGTCTCAGTTTTCTAGCCCATCCGCTAACTCAGAAGACTGCAAGTTTATTGCAGGAAAAAAAATGCTAATAAAGATGAGGGCAGTGATAATGATTTGTATCAACTGGGAGTTTGTTAAAAGATGGACAAATTGGAATTTTCATTTTCAGCAGATTTGCTGTGATACTTTGAAAGTAAAGTTAGATAAGCACTGATTTAGGGTGTTTGCCCCAGCCCTGCAGTGTTAAATAGGAACAGCCAGGCTGAGAGTCTGCTGGTCACTGCCCATACCTACTTGCTTAGAAACACATTCAATAGCAGTTTTAAATAACTCATGAACTTAGAGTCTTGAAAGAAGTAAATGTTATTTTAATGGAACCAACATGCCCTATATTATAATTGGCAACATTTTAAATTCCATTGGGTCATCTCTTTCCTGGGCTATCTGATTTTAGGGCCACGGGAGCAATTGTGTTTTTATTTCTTTTTTCCTGTGTGTGTATGAAGTTGAATTTGATTTTAGAATCTTGATTTCAGTTTTCGATATCAACACTAGCCTCTTAGCTAGTGTTACACATGCGTTTATAGATGCTTCCTGGTGCTGTTCCTATGCCAGTGGAAGAGAGTAAACATTGCCTTACACCTATTAGACTCTGGCATCCCATGGGCAGGAGGGAAGACTATTGGCCGTAGGAAAAATGATAGTGGTTGAAGGAGAATTCAAATTTTAAGAAAGGATTTCCAGATGTTATCCAGATAACCCATTTCAGATTGAATTTTTGTTTCCTTATTTCTAGATCAACATAGACATCTAAATCCTAAACATAGAAATCTAAATCATGTGCCATATTTGTGCAAGAAACCAAAACTAGTTAATTAAAACATTTCACAGCTTTGATGACTGGTTTAACTCTCATGCAAGCTGTTTTTGTTCATGTTAAAATTTATAAGTACAGTACTTAGGTATGAATCTGGTAAAAGACAGTGATTTTAAAAACATAGATTTGTATTACTTCCTAACTTTTGAAACTTATTTCTCCTTTTCCCGTTTGGTTTCAAGGAAGAAATTTTGAAGATAATATCTTAATCTTTCTAGCCATTTGTTAAATTTTACAGTGTCATGGTCAATTTATTCTGTCCAGTTTGCTGTGTGCCCTGGAGTCACTGTATTTTGACATCTGACATCACTAAAGACTCAGTTGGTTTAATTTAGTCTCAAATAAATAAGATCATTTCACTGTCATGTGTGTTATTTCTAAATTTTAAGAGAGAAGTTCACATCCTCCTTAGAAATGAGTTTTCCATTATTTCACTCTGCATTGTAGAGTTTTGCTTTGTTCAGTAACATAAAGCAGTAGGTCAAGTCAGAATACTTTGTAGATTGTAAGGTAATGATGAAAATATGAGCCAGATCTTATTTGTCAGAAAAATGCAAAGGTCTGGAACTAATTGTTGCCCAAATGAATGTTGACTTCAATATTATTTTGGTAGTATATATCCATTTTGTAGGGACTCACAACAACATAGGCTTTAGAGAAATGCATTATAAATGTAGTAAATTAATTATAGAGTTGCTATAATGGCAAAATAGCCTTTTATCTTGATTGTACCTTAGCTTACAAAATTATCATCACAACCCACAGTTACTTGCTTTTCCTCCTTTTCCCACGTAGTGATGACCTGCAGCTAGTCCCAGCATATGTAGGACATGTGGACATTTTTCTCAGATTTTCACATATTTGCCAATAAGCTCATGATTGCCAGTATCTCTTTTTTTAGAACACCCCAACCCAGGCAATCATTCAGCATCTCATTCAAGGAAACACACATCAATGCTATGAAAATAAAAACAGAAGAGAACCCAAGCCAACAGGGATCACGCTTCTCTCGAAGGAGGCTCATGGTTACACTGTACAAAGTCCAATAATCCAGTTAAGACAACTTCAGTAATGTTTTTCTAACTAACTTTGTGTGCATTCATTTTAATGTGAAATATTTTACATTTTTAATCCACATTTTCTCTTTTAGCTGTCTTTTGGGGTGACATTGCCTTAGATGATGAAGACTTAAATATCTTTCAAATAGATAGGACAATTGACCTGACAGAGAACCCCTTTGGACAACTTGGACATACCACAGGTATGATGACTTACTTCGATAAATCTGGGTTCATTTTGGAGAAAATGTTGTGTTGAAATGGTATGAATACTCCGCATCTTTTTGTTTTTTGGACTGGGAATAGAACTCAGGACCTTGCACTAGTGAGGTAGGTGCTTATACCACTGAGCTATCTCCCTGGCTTCTGCATCATTTTAATATCTCATTGGTCAACTTTGTTTTCTTGCATAGAAATGTGTATGTTTAGAAACTTGGGTTTATTTGTAGTGTGTATTTTATTACTTTATTTAACAAACACACTGGAGTGTATATTATATTCCTAGCCTGGTTTTGCTTTGCAAGTATCAATCCTTTGAATCCTTATAACAAACTTATGAGGGTCGGCACCAATATGAATGTTATTTATAAGGGAAATCAAAGTTTAAAGATTGTTTGGCTTTCTTATTGTTACATAATTGGAAAGTGGCAAGTCAGAGACAGAATTCTGGCCTGGGGAGAGAGCTCAGTGCCTTAAGCACCTGCCTGGCAAGCACAAGGTTCTAAGTTGGGTTCCTGGTACCAAGAAAAAAAAAAAAAAGAAAGAAAGAAGGAAGGAAAGAAAAGAAAAGGAAAAAAAGAAAAGAGAAAGACAAAGAGACTGCAGGGCTGGTTATACAACTCAGCAGATTAAAGCGCACGCAAGCAGGAGCAGGGGCCAGGGGTTCAAGGCTGGGGCCTGCTGGGCCCGCCTTGCCCGGGGGTGCACTGAGGTGGCGATCGAGACTGGGTGTGGTGGCGCGCACCTATAATCTCAGCACTTGAGAGGCTGTAAACAGGTGGATCACTACAAGTCTGATCTAATAGTGAGACCCTGAACACCCTGTGGACCCTTCCCTAAAAATAAAAAAAAATAAATAATAAGAAAAGAAAAGAAACAGAATTCGATTATACAAAAGACCCCAGTCTAGATGAACCAGTGTTATATTAAATTGCTTCCCACTTGGTTATTCAGTTGTGAAGTGTTAACTATTCTTAGAGCAACTAATGAACATTTTAGAAATGTACAAATATCTGACGAAAGCCCAAAGCTTTAGTTGTTTTGAACATGTTTGAATTATATCTATACAAGAAGTGCAATAGTTAAAAGTTTACTTCAGTTCTTATTTAAAAATTGGTTTTACAAAAAAAAATTAAAATTATATTTTTCATTTCTATTCCATGTTATAATTTGGAGAAAATAATGGGAGAGTAAAAGGATAAAATTTCATTTTGTAGTTCTATCTAGAAGTTATTCCACGTAATGTCTTGTGATTTCATTACCTTCTTGTCTTTACTATTTTTATTTTCTTCTTTTGTTTCATAGAAAATAAAATATGTCATTTTTTCTTGTACCTAGTGGACAATTACATAGCAGACTTAAGACTTTTGACAGTGAGTCAATATACTTTTCTTCAATTTTCTTGTCTTGCAAGTTTTTTATTGTAAGCAAATTTCCAATGTATGGAAAAGTTAATAGGATTAGGGCCAAGGATATAGCCCAGCAGCACAGCACCTGCCTGGCAAATTCAAGGTCCTGAATTTGATCACCAAGACCAAGAAGAAAATCAAAAACCAAAAAACAAGAAAACAAGTTGATAAGGTAGGAGAAGAGACACCAGCTTTTAACACTTTGTCAATTTGACCTACAGGTGAGCCTTTATATGCATCAGTGTATATGAAACAGTTTGAAATTGATTAAAGAAAATTGGTTTAAAAAATTGTTTTTTTTTTGTAAAACCAATTTTCATGTGCAAATAATAGCATGAAAGCATTTTATTATTAAATAGTCTAGTATGTACTCTTTAAGAATAAAGATATTGCCTTGCACAGGCAAAATATTGTCAGATCTAAGACAATTATTTCAAACAAAGAGTATATAGGATAAAACCTAAATTTAATTTAAAATCTAAAAACACTATGTAAGCTTAGCAAGCTTTGTCTTTGCTACATCTATAGTGATAGCATTTTTCTGAAACCCACCCTCCGGTAGGGGAAGATCTTGCTTTGCAGTAGAGCCGTGCTGCGTTCTGGTGGAGCACATTTATTGGCAGATTCTTCAGTTGCTCTAGCTCTCTTAACACTACCATGAAAGGCATTTATTCTGGACAGAGGAACATCGATACCACGCAGCAGGATTCTAAGCCCACTGTGAGTGGCATATCCTACCAAAAATTTCCTTTGCTTCAAGATTCATTTTGGTCATTTCTCTAACTTTTTCCCCATTGTTTTAAAGCCTTTAATTATCTATGATTTAAACATTTCTAATTATCTTTTTCAGCACTGCAGTTTGAATCCAGGGTCTGTTTGCTGAGACATGCTTCCAAACTTTTTTATTCTAAGGCAGAATTTCAGTATGTTGCTAAGCTGCCCGGGCTGGGCTCATACTTGTTGAGCTTCACACTCCCTTAGTGCTGGGATTAGAAGTGTGCCTCACTATGCCCAGTTGTTTTTTATTATTTCATTTAAAGTTAAACTCTGTGATCGTAGATCTGGAAAAAAATAACATTATTTTAAACACATAGAATAAAGCAGATTATATGTACTGTTAGACACGGTTAATTCTAGTGCTTTACTTTTACTCTTTTGTATTTTTAAAAAATAAAACAAAAACATTTATTCTAGATGTGTTAACTAAAGGCACATATATCTTAAACTTCAGTAGTAACTTGCACTACTTAGGTTAATTTCAAACAATATAAAAGTATTGATTTTTTCGTCTTCTTTTTAATTTGTGTTGTATTAATATGTATCTTAATTTAAAGTATACCTTTTTCATGAATATTTATTTAATTTATATATGTTTAGTATTTTAGAACAGCTTCAAAATAAGCATTTTTCCTTTTTGCCATTTTAGTGAGCTACCTATGCAGAGGTTTATTTCAGTTGATATAAAAATCATTTAAAGCTTGATAAAATATATGTAATACATTATTGTCTTTGATAGTTTTGAAATGTTATTTATTCAATTCAATACTTAAGATTACCCTTATAATACCTCAATATTAAGAAAGACATTTCTATACTTAAGATTACCCTTATAATACCTCAATATTAAGAAAGACATTTCTTTTTTCTCATAAGTAGCCGCTTTATAAATCTATTTCTATTTCTTTTTTAAAATTTCTATCTATTTCAGACCTTGCTAGTATAAATATAGTTGCTATACAATGGTCATTTAAAACTATAGATACCATTCGTTGAAAATATTTTTGTAACTACTTAGGAATGAATACTTTTAACTATGACATCATCTTTCTAAGACGTTCAATGAAAAAAATGTCAAAAATTTTTGTCCAGATGTACAGCAAAAAATGTGACCATGCAATGCAAGTAATTAGGCAGATTACGGGTCAGTGAGCAAGTACTTGCCTTATAAGGACTTACTCGCTTTTCCTGTTAAGAGGCTTATATGGCAGCAGATCTTATTGTTCTAGTTTTAGCTTTCCAGGTATTAGATTTAGTTCAAAGTCTGAGAAGAGTCTGTTGTCTTTGTGGATTGACTTTTATTGTCTTACCCCCAAGAAACTGTAAAACAGACATTGATAGTGCTGAAACGCATCTGTACTTGTGCTCGTGTTATTAGTAGTTGTGTTGGTTGTTTAGTCAGTGATAACTCTTACTTATTCATCCATAAAATCCTCAAGGACAGTAGGACAAATAAAGGATGAAACCTGGAGCAGCACTTTATGCAAACAATGGGATGAGACGCAAGGGTCTCGGCTTGGCCAAGCCTTCTGCTTTTCAGGTTGTGCCAGGAACACCCTCCTTCTCTACTGGTTAAATCAAAAGGCATGTTTCCTCTTTCCACCCCACTCCTCTTCCTTTTGCATTCCTTTTACTTTTCCATTGTGGGTTCAATAAAACAAGTTTTGCAGTTGAACATTTGCGTTCCTACCTTGACTTTTCATTCAAATAATACTAATTTTAGCAATTAGTGAGCTCACTTTGTAGAATTTAAAATGATTTGAATTTCTTTTAAAAATTTTCAGAGCTTTAGAATTCAACTTGTAATCTTTGCAGATCTGCTTTCCTAATATTTCCATTTCCGTTTGCTGATTTGGCTGCTGAAAATATTCAATTTTCATTGGGAAAATAGCTGGAATGTAATCAATAGGACGAAATAACTGCTGTCATTTTATATAACAATATGTGATGTCGAGGTCACAGTGAAGAAAAATATTTCAAATTATCAACAGTTACTCAATTGTCATCATGTCCAAATAAAGTCATTTGAATTGCTCCTTACATCTCACACATGGAAGTGCCTTACTTTTTCTTACCGGCGTGTGTTGCTATGGAAGTTTTACGCTCTACAAAGATTCTTAGACATGCCTAATTCTAAGACCATGGAAAACCAATGCCCAGAGAGAAATCGTTGTAGCATATTGCTGTTGTCTGTTTGTAAGGTCCTTCAAAACCATTTGAATTTAACTTCATTTTCTCTCTTTCTTTAAGGGGGACTTGGAGACCATGGTATAACAAAGAAGCGAGGGGCCCTCTATCAACTCATAGACCGGATAAGAAGAATTGGCTCTGGTATATCAATATTTAAAGTTGTGGGTTCTTGCCTTGACATATAGTAAATATTATACTCATTGCAGTTTAGTACTTTTTAGAATCCAGGACCAGTGAGATAACTCAGAGGACTAAACACCTGCTTGGGAAAGTGCAGCGTTCAGGTTCAATTCTAGGTACCACGGGTCACGCCGGCACTGCTCCTGGATGCACTGAGCCCACCAGTGAGACTGGGTGTTGTGGTACATGCCTGTAGCCCAGTGCTGGGGAGGCTGAAAACAAGAAGATCACTATGAATCCACGCTGTGTAGTGAGACCCTGTATCAAATATATTAAAACAAAATCCATATAGCCTTATGATGAGGTATGGAGGCTTTATGCTTAAAAAATTACTTATTGATTTTTACTTGGTTGGCCTGTAATTGATGTAATATTTTCAGAACTTAATTTGGGACAATTTGAACTGCTCCTTATGTTAGATTTCTCCCTATTAAAATGTGCTAGATATTTATTTTATTTTTGAAAGCTTTTCCCAGTTAATTGGGTATCTTATGAAGATATTTTTATAAAGCATGGAGCCCAACCATTTTAGTCAACTGAAAAAATCTGAACTTTTTGTTTTGAAATAATGTAAAATGTACTTATACTAAATTAAATTTATTAGATGAAAATAATTAATATTTTTACCATTAAAACATATATGTGCCATTCAGAACACTTATTTTGTTTTTACATTCAGTTAATGTTCCTAGTATTAAATTTATTAACCACTGTTTATAGATTTAACTTTTAAAAAAATCTTCCATTCATATGTTCATCTATCAATTTAAGGTTTCCTCAAATTGATGGATTATAATTAAATTCTTGAAGTATTTTCAAAGAATAAATAATTTACCTGAGCAAAGAAACTTCGCTCTAGAACATTGAAAAGATAGACTTGTTAGAGACATAGACTGAGGGACCATGTAGTTGACATTAATTATTTTAAAGCATTTATTAGCCATAGGGTGTTTGTATCCACAATGAGAGATGAAAAAGAAAGAATAATCATGTATATGAAAAAGAAAAAATTAGCAAAAATATAGAAGGTCATGAAGCATGATAAAGCCTCTACCTCTGCAAGCTGCTCCAGGATGGCCTGGATTTGATGCTGGCCTGGTCCTGTGGTGTGTGACTGCTGAGTCTCCCTGGAGAACAATCCACAGGAAACTGCAGGCAAGGGAAATGGCAGCTGGCCTCAGGTGGCTGAGTCTACACTTGTCATTGTGTTATTTTTATGCCTATCTATATATAATGTACTATTCATAATTTGAGAATACTATTCATAATTTGAGAATGTACTATAATACACAAATCCTAACCTACAAGTTTAAGGATTTAGCTGGAATAAGAAGAGTGTTGTTAGGGCTGGCCAAAGAGCTCAGCTGATTAAAGCACCTGCAAGCAGGCACAGGGGCTGGGGGTTTGATCCCAGCACCTGCTATGCTGGCCTCACCCCCGGGGCACATTGAGAGGGTAGTTGAGACTGGGTGTGGCAGCACGTGCCTATAATCCCAGCACTTGGGAGGTTGTAAACAGGCAGATCACTATGAGTCCGATCTAGTAGTGAGACCCTGAACACGCTGTAGACCTTTCCCTAAAATGCAAAAAAGAAAAAAAAAGAAAGGAAAAAGAGAAAGAAGAGCATTGCATACTATAGAATTTTGTTAAGTACTTTTTTCATATGGGAGTGCACTGGCAGTGAGTTTAATAAGATAGAAAATACAGAACAGTATTTTCAATTGCTTCTATGCTTCCTGGCTATCTCCTGCACGTTTTATATGGGAATTCATCAACTTCAGGCACAGAGCATTCAGAAACAGTATTTGGCATGAAATGCTTAAATATTTTAATGCTTTTCCAAAGTATGTAATATAGCTGAAAGGTTTTTCTTCTCTGCCTTTTTTCTTAACTTCGGGCATATTTATACAAATATGTAAATAAGACATTTCAACTTTTGTCCTTTAAGAGGTAAATGACTCCCTGACCAAGAACTTCTGTTTCACAGAATGTTTTAAATGTCACTACAGGCTTGCAGCAGAACAGCACAGTTAAGGGAAAAGTACCTCAAAAATTCTCAGGGCAAAATGAGAAAAATCGGGTTCCCAGAGCTGCTACATCCAGAACAGAAAGAATATGGCCTGGAGGTGTTATTCCTTATGTTATAGGAGGCAACTTTACTGGTAAGATATTCCCAGAGTGTCTGTTTTGATAAAGAAATAGAAGCTATCATATAGGCAAAGTGTGTATTTGTATAGAATATTAACCCAAAGACTTAGTATTCAGTGAAACTTGGAAAAATACTCCATTCACCTCAGTTACTAGTTTAGAATTTCTTTGCGCTTGAGAAAATATTTTTAGTCTTGCGTTCTAAGAGTCCAAAATGCTCTTATTGTTTTTAAGCAGACTTTCAAATGTGCCCACTAAGTGTGGAGGCTCATTTCTCTTCATATGACAGGAGGAATGTACACACCCTTTAGATAGCCTTGCACACACGTAATCGTAGAGATAGTGAGCTTGACCTTCTGATTATGAAGTGAGTGTCGATTCTTCACAGTGGCTGATTTGTGGTGCTATAAACTAAGTCTTTGGTGGATGATAGTGGTGGCATTCTGAGCAGCCCTGGCAGCCTCAGCATGGAGGAACCAGCACTGGCAAGCACCAATTAAAGGCATGTACTTTTCCAGGCAGCCAGCGGGCCATGTTCAAGCAGGCCATGAGACACTGGGAGAAACACACCTGTGTGACTTTCATTGAAAGAAGTGACGAAGAGAGTTATATTGTGTTCACCTATAGACCCTGTGGGTAAGTAGGCTAAGAGAAGGACTTCAGAAAGTTTACTAGGAAAATAAAATTTTAAAACCATAGGTAAGATTCAGGTCTTCATATTTGCATCGTACTTGAGTCATGCACAAGTTGAATTTTTGCATGGGAAAGTAGTAGGATACATATTTGGGAAATAGACTTCAAGATCACAGAAGTTGTGTGGCTGTAGCACACGTGTGCTCCTCCACCACCACAGCTGCCTTCTTGTGCAGCAGCGGCCCTGCAGACGTCTCACTTAGGCGAGGGGGAAGGTGTGTGTGCTGTCTGGCCGTGCTGCTGTGCTCACTGTAAAGTCTATGCAGTAAGATTTTGGGATGATGTTCACCAGGCATTTGGTGTCCACCCCACCCCATAGCAACGCCCTGATCACTGCTCTCTCCAGTATTTCTCACCCTATGATTACACCCACCCTCACTCATTGCCTCCCTGAGCTGCTGCCTCTAGAATTCCCTTCTGAACATGCTCCTTGGATCAGCATTTCACACTTTCTGAGACTCTCCAGCCTTTTCCACTCTAATGATGTTTTCTAGATTCCTATTTTATAGGATAATGAATATTTTCTGAAAAAATTTAAAAAAGGTTGTGTAAATTGTGACAACGCGTGCTGTATCTTCACAGGTATGTAAGGTACTGAGCAAGGTGTCCGTGGTCATTGTTAATATTCAATTACTTGAACATGTTTCTGAAACATAGCTGGAAAGAAGGGACACTTAGCTCCTTTGAAAGGTGAAAACCATTAGCAGTATCTGAGGCTGATTTGGGAAATTTTGGCCTGGGGATAAAATCTAAGTACTTTGCTATGACATTTAAGGAATGTCATGAACTTACCCCACTTCCATTTTCAGCTGCTTGCGTTCTGTGTCTCTCCACAAATCCCATAATCCAGCCATGATACAGTAATAACAGTTCTCCAAGCACTGTTGCATTCTTGAAAAGTTTTCTTATGGTTGAAGTTTTCACACTGCTTTTCCCTGTATTTCCAACTAATTAGAATTTGTATATAAAGCTTTGATTAAATCCAGCTTGTTTTTCCTAAGAATATGTGATAGGTGGTGTTGTCTACTTTATAGGGTTTCTTGTCAGGAGCATTGTTGCCTGGATTTGTCTCTTTAGGATCCATTGGTGATTGACCACTAGAGGCTCAAGCGGTGGTAGCCCCTTCCCTTTATTGTAAATATTGTCACCATTCCAAAATGGTGAATTTTTTCTAGTTGTTTCCTTTTAATTGTTGTTTATATTTACTAGCTGAAATTCTTCCAGAATGATGAATTTTTACCAGTCTGCTATTGCTGTTGGATACCTTTTGTTGTATTTCATGTGGAGAAGTCAAAATAAAAGCTTAACTTTTGGAAAAAATAGTCCTTGCTCTAATGACATGTCCTTATTCAGGAAACAAAAGATTAGGTCTTAGCATTGGGTCTGTTATGTCATCTTTGTTGTGCTGTATTTTCCTAGAAAATAATTTAACTTAAAAAATAAGGCATTTCAACATTGGCTCCATTTGAGGAACATTATAAAAGGTTATGCATCATTATCTTTCTAGATATTTTTGGATAGTGCCATAAATTATTATTAAGCAATGTTTAATAATTAAGCAGTGTTTTCTTCTAAATTACTCTAATTTTAGCTGGATAAGTTTCAGTTACATTTGAAATGTCTCCTGCTTCTTTATATCTGTTTAATATTTAAAAGGCCCATGTCTTGACTGTCCTTCTTTCTTTCTAATTTTCTAATTGGAATAGATAGAGCTTAGTTTACATATTTCTAAATATATAATGTAGTTAGATCAATGCCTCTTCCTTCTCACCCATATATTTTGTAAAAGAAACACATCCAAAATCCTTTTTCCTTTTTTTGTTTTGCTCGTACCAGTTACATTACCTCAGCTTGTTCAGACATCTGTCTTTGTTAATGATCAGGGCAAACAAATCTCCATCTACTTCATGACGCCTCTACTTTATGTGGTTATGAAAGAATGGATAGTTTAAACATTGTCTTAACACAGCGTTTACATTATAAAGGAATGTAAGGTTTATCTTTTCCACTAGAAATATTTAATAATTTGAAGAAGTGTTTAAGAACATATACTTCAATAACTTAGCAATATAAAAATTGAATATGACCTGACCAAAAATAATTAAATCTGTAATTGCACTCTAGAAACTAAATTCTAAGAAACTGAATTCTCAGAATTCTAAATATTAATGTATACATATTTTTGCGACTTTTATAGTAATGATGTTAAACTTGGGTGATCTGTTTTGATACTCAGTTTATAGTTTGAAATTTGTTCCAAAATATTTTCTCTTTCTGAAATAGGATATTTCATTGCCTGAAAGTTGATCACTGACCTGCTAGTCATTCTAATTATTTTGTACTTCGAAGTTCCTTTGGAAATGAGCTTAGCCACAATTTAAAAACAATTATTTTGACACTTTGCTATAAAAGCTGTGTACTTAACCCCATAAAAATTCAATTATTAAAGGGTTTAGAAGTTGGTACTGCACAAAAGTATTTGGAGCCAACTAAATACATACAAGTTGTGATTAAAATATACAGTGAATAATTAATTTTTAATATTTATTCCAGTAAAGATTTACTGCTGTTAATCCTCCTCAAAATACTTCAGCTTGCCTCAGAAACACTTAGCCCACTGGTTTAGCCTCTTTCTGAAGCAGTTCTAGAAGTTCTCTCCCGTGAGTGTTTAGTTATTCTATTGCAACTGCCTTGGGGGCCAGAATCTGCTCAAAAGTTCTTTCTTGCAATGTCCTTTGCCTCCAGGGAAGAGTTGCCAGAGGCACAATGCCATACTTGGTAAAAAAGTATGTGTGATGACACATCATAAGGTTTTTAATTTGATGGAAGTTTCCACAAATATTTTGAAACAATTCAAAGCAACCATAAAAGACACTCATGAAAAAGGCCTTTCAGAACTGCTTCAGAAAGTGGCCAGGATATGGGATAAGTAAGTGTCAAGAGAAGGAAAATATTTGGAGTGGAGTTACGTGTTTTGAGTGGAGTTTATCTTTTGTAGAAGTATATTTTTTAACTCAAATAGGTGCTGTATTTTGTGAATATGCCTCATGGATATTACCATAAGTGGCGTTTATTTATTACAAAATTAATTAGCATCAGCAAAACATTTTATAACAGAGGTAATATTGTTCCAAGTGAGAGATTTATGGAACTGAATCTATTACCTAACCTATCATATAAACTTACATAGATATATAGCCTGCATTTTCACTAGTTTTTAGTTTCTAGAACCATTACTTTTCTGTCTACTAACCTTTAATGAGTGCGAAAAATCAAATAATTGAACAGACCATGTAAACCACTTAAGTGTCTTTTTGATTTTGTGACTTAACTTCAATTTAATTTTGGTTTATTTGGCTATTCAGAGTAAGATAACAGTCTTTGGGCCAGGGAGATAGTTCAGTGGAATAAGTACTTGCCTGGCAAGCACAAGCTCCTGAGTTCAATCGCTGGTACCACAAAAAAAAAAAAAAAAAAAAAAAAAAGTCTTTTAATAAGGAGCGGCGGAGATGGCTCACTAGTGTGACTGCTAGGGTGCCTTCTGTAGGGGGCTGGTGTCCTCCTGTGCTTTTTATACAAATAAACCTGAGAAAAAAAAAAAAAAAAAGATAACAGTCTATTTTATACTTATGATGTGAATTTTAGGAAAATAAACTTGTACATAAGGTGTTTTCTTTCTGCAAGGAGGTTGTAGTTAGACAGAGAAGTGTGCTAGCCTACAGTTTTATTCATACACAACAAAAATAAACTATCGTAAGCAGGAACAATAGCTTATGGGAAAGCTATTAGAGAATTTCTAGACTTGTACCTGTGGTAAAATCGGTGGGGCAGGCTGAGGAATGATTCTCAAGAGAGGAATGCGTCACCCTTACTGTGTGCACCATGATCGGGGACTTGGAAGCTCTGTCTACTGCTGGCATCTGTCCCCTCTGCCCTCTGTAATCTGCTCTTCCAAGAAGCCTTCTGGAGCTCTGTATGCTGACTGCTGGGTGGCAGGTGAATTCTAGGGGCTGGAACACAGCAGGGAGCAAAACAGGTAAGGCCTGTGCACACGAAGAGATTCCATTTCAGGGTGAAGAGGCAGAAAAGAAAAACGGGTGAAATATCACATTTACTAGACACTTTAATGGAGAATGAAAGAAAAATTAGTGGGGTGGAGGGTGCGTTTATGCAAAGACTAGAAAAAGATAGGGGAAGAACCATCTGGACATCTGGGAGAACTGAGCTCCCCTCAGAAGGGATAGACAGGAAATAGACTCTGAGGCACAAGAGTCTCTCTGCTTGCATGTTCAAGGCAGAGTGAAAAGAAAGATATGACAGACCTTGGGTGAGTGGTGGTAGGGCACTGGTAAGACACTGGTGTGCGAATATTCTTGTTGTTTTATTGTGAAGAGTTTAAAGAGCTTGTTTAGTCAGCTGAGCAAGTTTATGCCATATTCCCCAGTGACCCCTTGGTCTCGGTAGCATAGGGCAGCAAACACCTATTCCTTCTTTACACCTTATGTGTACTTTGGCCCACAGTGGCTCTGTCTCGGGGCTGTTATTCTCACAGCCAGGGCAACTGAGAAGCCTGTCTTTGCATGTAGCTGTTCTTGTGGCAACTGAGATGGGAATGATACGGTCACTGTGCTTTGGCTCTTAAAAGGTTCTCTAGAAATACAATTTTACAGCTTTGTATTATTATTATTATTATTATTATTTTGTTTTTATGTATTTGCTAGAGAATCTCACTATGCAACTCAGACTCATAGTGATCCTCCTGTTTTCAGCCTTACAGGCATGTGCCACCACACCGGGACTCAGTGACCGGCTCAGTATGCCCAGGGGCTGGGCTGGCACAGCTTGTGGTGCCAGGGATCAAATTCTGGTCCCTGCACTTGCCTAAGCAGGTGCTTAGTCCACTGAGCTACCTCGCCAGCCCTAGCTTTGTGTTATTGTACAAA